AGGGCTTGCTTGAGAGAATATTCACCGAGGCTTTACAGATCAGATGGGGTTAGAGTTTGGCAGAGGAGACAGGATTGAAAGCTGGACCACCCCAGTGCCTGGCCCTTTCATGTTCATGCTTGTTTAATCCTCAGTTAACCTGGGAGGTACATACTTTATTTCCATTTGATAGACGATGAAATTGAGGCCAGAGAGGTTAAATGACTTCCCTAGTGCCACACAGCTAACATGGAACACAGCTGAGCCTCAAATATAAGCCTAAGGTGATTTTTTTTCATACTCTACATTTACATGAAAAAAATATTATGAAGCAGGACAGAAGCAAGTGGGACTTAGGAGAGCAGCTAATCCTTATTCTCAAGATGTCACTGTCTAGGGCACTTGGCTGGCTCAATCAGTAGAGCATGGGACTCTTTATCTTGGGATTGTGAGCTCAAGTCCCACGTTAGGGGCAGAATTTACTTAATAAACAAACAAACAAACAAACAAACAAAAGCTGCCAGTGTCTAAGAGGATCTAGGAAGAGTCGAGAGGAGGACTGCAATAAAGGCCAAGATCTGGTTTAAATTGCTAAATGAGCCCCTTAAATCTCCAAGTCCCAGCTGCCTTCTAAAAATTGAAGAAGTTGAAATAGATGGTCTCAAAATATTGAAGAAGTTGAAATAGATGGTCTCAAAATAAATTTTTTAAATGGAAAAGGAAAATGAGTTGAGTAGTGAATGGCCCAGAATCTTAGAGGTCTAAACTCCTAAACTCCTTTCCCACGGCTCCACAGCCTCACATTCCCTTCCCTGAGGTTTGGGTAGTTAGCAGCTGCTGATAAGGGAACACTCTGGCCCTTGAGTGTGGCTCTCATTTGATGAGTCATTCAACAATGGCCTAAACAATGCTAACAATGCATCAGACCACTAATTAGTATACTCTAAAACCCAAAACCCATTCCTTGATGGTAGAGTTTATTTGCTAAAAAAAAAAAAAAAAAATAATAATAATAATAATAATAAATGAAAAGATATAAAGAGTAGATTACTCTAGTTCAGAGAGTCTAATGCAATTTGAGGGCCCTTTTCTCCAGCTCTGACTTAAGATCTGTTATAAACTATTTAAGGTTTACTCTTCATGGTCTCATATAAAGTATTCACTTGCTCAGTTTCAGGTTCCAGTTCATCTCAGTCATCATACTACCTTCTCTTTAAGCAACAAAAGAACTCAATTATAAATTGGCTTCTTGGCTAGGGTTAAAGTAACCAAATGATATTTGACCATTTTATTTTAGTAAAACTGCTGCCTTGCCTGGCTATGATGGGGGCTAAGGTAGAAGAGAATAACCCCTAATGGATGAAATACAACTTGGGAATCCCAAATATGAGTTATATGCATTTGCTCTGCTTTTTCATCCCAGTATGCCCTGTACCTTGAGAAGACTCCATCCAATTTTAACATAATGATACATCTGGGATAAAAGGCAAAGAAAGATCACTTTTTCTAGTGATAATGTAACAAAAGCCCACTTGAGAGAGGGGGTGGTAAGGGGTCTATATACCTCAATATTTCATGCCCTTTGCCTGGCCCCTCAAAGTCGTTATTCACATTTGCTGTCCCAAAAATTCAATGACTCAAGGTCAGAGTAGCCTGGCTGAACAAAAAATGTAGAGGTGGTCACCTCACTCTTCCAAATTTCCCTTCATTATATCTCACTGTGATATAGTTTCTACTTGGTTGCAGTTTCTTATCAAATATTTTCATTTTGATTTTAATATCAATATGCTAAGCTACATAGCATTGTTGATAAGGTAGAAAATTAAATTGAATGTTCTTGCAATATCTATGTTTAAAAAGTTCACTGGGCACCTTCTCTGAAGTTTAGCTAAATGTTCTACTATACTCAAGTACACTGGCTGAGGCCTCAATGAAATCTTTGCTGTAGTCAGAGATTACTTACAGAGTCCAGCACAGTTTGGACTGTTAACCTACTGTACCCAGGAGATATTGCAACTCCCACTATCCTGGGATACATTCACGAGGTAGCTGATCTATTAATGCAGATTACTGCTTTTAGGAGTGTAGATTCACTGCCTTTTAGATAGCTCACGATAAGTCTGTCAGCCACAGTTCCTGAACCCCTCAGACCCACGGAGGATTTCTCTATTTCCCAAGATTCCTGTCTCCATGTGGTGGCTGAACTAGAGCCAGAAGTCAGAAGCCCTCAGGATGTACATGTGCCAAACGTTGAGGGAGGGGCATTGAGATCAAAGGAGAGCATTCCAGGGACATCCTAGAGATGAGGTCTCTCCCCTAGTCCTCCATAGTGATCCCAGACACCTCCTAAAATCCCAGATGCTTAATGATGACTTTTTTCTCCAGAGCAGAGGTTCTTAAGTTGGGGTCCACAGACCCCTAGGGAATCTATGGAAGCAACCTCAAGGGTACATAAGATACATATACCTACATTATTCTGGGGAGTGAACTTCATAGCCTTCATCATATTTTTTATTCTTATCTACGGAATAATCTTCAGAGCACTGTGGAAATCTTAAAGTTATAGTTACTGAGATAGAGAGAGGCAGTTAGGCCAATTCTGACACAGATCAGCCCTGAATCTCTGATATCCAGCCATATCCAGCATATGTGACTGACTACCATTCCAGGCTCCAGAAAACATCCCTGAAACTGCAAGGACTTAGTGACCATCTCAACTATGGTCTGGTCCCTGAAAGGACCTTTTGTACCTGGATATCTCAGAGACATACCCAGAAGAAGAAAAATATATATGCTCTGAGCCTAAGGTTAGATGAGTTCATCACAGATCCCAGGTCACGCCTTTGAGACTGCCCTCTGAGCATGAGGAAGAAATGGGAGTCACTCAAGAGAAGAGTCATCAGCTCTAGGCCTTGCCCCTAAAAGCATGGGGCCCAAGGGCCTCTTCCCAATCCCTGTAGAAACAAAGCACTGGTCCCAATAATAAGTCATTCTCCCTTATCTAATGCCCAGGGTTTCCCTGGATCCTGAAATAAAACTGACCCTGCAAAGGGAAGGAAAGCCTACAACTAGCCCAGCAAGGCAACCAGAAAATGGTGTGTCTATCTTCACAGGGCAGAGTCAAATCCAGGAGTTTCAGAAATGCAAGGTGCTTTGAAGCCAGAAATTCATTTATACTGTGATTCTCAAACTTTAGTATGAATAACAGTCATCCTGAATGTTTTTGTTGTTTTTTTGTTTGTTTGTTTTGACAGAGAGAGAGAGAGAGAGAGTACTTGAGGAGGAGGAGGGGTAGAGGGAGAGGGAGAACAAGACTCCCAAGCAGGTTCCATGCTGAGCACGGAGCCCAATGTGGGGCTCAATACCATGACCCTGAGATCATGACCCAAGAGAAAAATCAGGAGTCAGACACTTAACCAACTGAGCCACTCAGGTACCCACTGAATGTTTGTTTTATAATACAGGTTCCTAGGCCCAAGGGATTGTGATTCAGGTTGTAAAATGAAACAGCAATTCTGATCTCAGGCACCCACGGAATATACCTTTAGGAAGTATTCAAGGTTTCTAGGGGCTTTTAGGCATCAGATGTGAAAAAGGGGCTTTAAAGGAACTGACAATCCTCAGAGAAATCATTGAAATGCCATGGAGAGCTTTTGGTCAGCAAAGGGGATCTATGGGGGTCTATGGGCTCCTACTGGTTAGTATTACATTTATATTCTTCAACTAATACGGAAAATGAGTTTGACGCACCAGAACTAAGACCAACTTTGAAGCCCAGCAACCTTTATAGATGATTAAATTTTTATCCTTTAAAGGGTCCTCAGGAAGGTACCTACCCCACAGAATTACATACAGAAGTAAATTAAATAATTTGAACAAAGTGTTTAGCATAATGCCCAGACACACAGGAGCTGAGCAAGTGTTACACAGTAATCAAGTGTAATCATTAATTACTACTAATTATGACTATATCCATGCTCACCAAGAAACCACTATAACATCTTGTTTGTGAAAGACTGAGGTTAAATGTGGTCTCTACAGATTGAGGTTTTCTCCAGAGAGATGTTATTATTAAGGGTATTTTTTTTTTTTAACTCAAGAGCAAAAAGAATCACATCCTCAAATAGATCACCAATGTAATTAGAAACATTTTAGAATTCCCTTTACCTTCAGTTCTGACATTAACCAAAAATCAAAATGCTCCAACAGTGCCATCTAAATTTGCTCTGAGTGAAAAATGAAGCTATGGGGTTCTGTGCAACTTTTCAGTCTATAGTGACCTCTGCATGCTTCAAACTAAATCTGTGACTGTTACCTGAACTCCCAACAGTTTCAACTACCTACGAGAGCTGCCCCAAATAAATAAACTTAACTTCCAGATGAAAGATCCAAGCAGATCACCAAGAAGGCTTGACAGCCGAACCTGATGAACATTTGGCCAAGTATTTCCTCACCAGCCAGGAACCCCTGATATTAGAAAACCCCATCTCTCCACCCCCTCACGTAGCCTGTTTGCTTAAAATGTGTAAGAACTGGTGAGACACAATTCCTGAGAAGGGAGCATTGGTGGTTTTGGATAGGAAGGGCAGAAAAGACAGTTGAAGATAGAAAAGACAGAAGCAACTAAGTTTCTCCATGAAGAAAGTAAAGGGAAAGAATATTACAGAATAGATTAATATCAGAGAACAAGACCAATTTGAGCTTTCAGGATAAATATGAGACCTCTTTACCTGCTCTGATGAAGGGTACCACATGCCTCTGGGGAGAAAGGATGAAATGCATGGACAGAAATATATAGCCCACCCTCTCCCATATCTTCCATTAGGTCAGTGTGAACATGGCTTTGCCCCTCATTAGTCATACTTGACATGGATCCTGGAGACTGGGGGTCAGGCCTGTCCCAGCCACCATCACCAGAGAACACATCCATGACAAACCCAAATTCCTAATTCCTAAACTACTTCAAGCCACCCCATATTGTAGCCACTCAGGAACAGAAGCTTTGTTTAAAAAAAAAAAAAAAAAAAAAGGCTGCATGTTTTAATTCAAGAAATAAAAGTTCACAGGCAATCCAGAACAGGTGCAAGGACTTTGTTCTAAACAATCAGCCACACCTGCTGCAAAAGTCCAGGCTCCACGGAATCACTTTGGCCAATGCCTCCTGAGATGCCCTTTCAGCTGAGGAACGGAAGGCAGCAGCTGCTGACACTCGTGACAACGGAGAGGCAGCTTCAAGAGCTCAGGCATCCCATCCCGGACACTCACTCTGCCAGTGTCCTGTACCATCTCTATCACAGCTGCAAGCAAAGAAAAACGTTCAAAGCCCATCTACTCTGAAAAGCCAATGTAAGATAACCCCCCAAAAAAAATCTGACTCCAAATAAAAACATGCCAGGTATCCTAAAGCTAGTAAACTTGAGGTTAAACTCACTGTGGGGAAAATGTGTTTGATCAGATTCTAAATCTGAGCAACCCGTTTTTGAAATAATTACATTCCTTCGGGACACACTGTAAGCAACCCATGTTATTATGTCAAGCGCTTACCACAGTGCTTTATCGCTGGTAAGCCTTTGGTAGCTGCCATCATTAATGTCCCAGCATACTGCAGTTGCACAGTATACACCCTGGAAAATGCCCTCTTCCACATACACACAACCCTCCCCTGTTTATTAACCACTCATGACATGAGGCAGCCCCCAATCTCCTATCCAGCTGATGGCAGAAAAGACAATTGTTGAGAGCTTTCACATCCATGAACTCCAGTAATTCTCAGGACAACCTTTAAGTCCCCTGTCTTTACAATAAAACACCTTTCTGGCTCTGACATAACAGCTTTCTAGGTCCACTCCCGCCACTTCAAGAAGGCTGCTCAAAGCAAAGTGGCAACGCTACTCAATTCAAATAATCCAGTTTCTTTTAATGGGTCTCTCTTTCTAGGGACAGAAAGCTGTATGTGGGCTTTTGAGGTCAGGTAATTATCTAGGGAAACAACTAAATCAAATATAAGAATAGCTGAGAAAATGAAATAAATGTGAAAACTAAAGAACTCTGTTTACCTTGTGATTCTAGGAAGTATTCTGTATTGAAAGAATTCCAATGCTTTTTGTTTTTAAGGCAAGGAGAATCAAAATCCTGGCTGATCACATGAAGGTGTACATGGCTAGTTGAGAGAGAAGGAAAATGACCATTAAATCCATTAAAAACTATGGCTTAGTCAAAATGACAAACAATAAAAATATGGGTATACAAAATATTGCTAGTGTTTCCACTTAATCCATTCAATCCTTCACTTAAGAACATTTAATGCTCATTAAGTACCTACTAGAGCCAACCACTATTCTAGCTCTGGGAATTTAGCAGTGAACAAAATGAGAAAGGCCTCTGCCCTTATAATTATAGTCTAATAAAGAAAGACAAATTTTGAAAAGAAAAGAAATATATGGGGAAAATTCAAATCATTAACATTGGTTTTTTGGGGGGGTTTTGTGTGTGTGTGTGTGTGTGTGTGTGTGTGTGGTTTTTTTTTTAAGATTTTATTTATTTATTTGACACAGAGAGAGAGAGAGAGAGATCACAGTAGGCAGAGAGGCAGGCCGAGAGAGAGGGGGGAAGCAGGCTTCCCCGCTGAGCAGAGAGCCCGATGCGGGGCTCGATCCCAGGACCCTGAGATCATGACCTGAGCCGAAGGCAGAGGCTTTAACCCACTGAGCCACCCAGGCACCCCAATCATTAACATTGTTAAGGAAAAAACATAAACCAGGGAAATGGGACACAGAGTGCTCAGGGGTTAGAAGTTACCTCTATAGCTATAGTGTTTGGGGAAGGCCACTCCAGGCAGTGATTCGAGCTGAGTAAGCAGTCAGGCAAGCAAAGATCTGGAGAAAGAATGTTTTGGGGAGCCAAGTGCAAAGACCCTAAGATAAAAAAGAACTTGCTGCAACTAAGGAACAGAAAGGTGATAGGTAAGGCTGGAATGGTTCCAGCTGAGAAACAGAGACAAGGTAGGAGTCAGAACATAAAGAATCTTACAGGCTGGGGCAGCTGGGTGGCTCAGTGGGTTAAGCCTCTGCCTTCCGCTCAGGTCATGATCTCAGGGTCCTGGGATCGAGCCCCACATCGGGCTCTCTGCTCGGCGGGGAGCCTGCTTCCCCCCTCTCTCTCTGCCTGCTTCTCTGCCTACTTGCGATCTCTGTCTGTCAAATAAATAAATAAATCCTTAAAAAAAAAAATGAATCTTACAGGCTGACAAGAGGTCTACAGTGTATTCTGCTTATATTGTCCCTGATTTGCACTTTTAAAAGATCACTCTGGGCTGCCCTGCACGGAAAGAAGTATAAAGAGGGTAACAATGGATACAGAGACGAGTTAGGAAACTACTACAGAAATAATCATGCCTTAGATTAGAGCTGTAGTGTCTGGAATATAGTTTGCAATGGAACCAACAGGACTTCCTAATGGATTGGATGTGGTTTAGGGGAGGTGCCACTTACAGAGATGCAGAAGCTGAAAGGAAAGCAGGTTTGGGGCAGAAAACCAAGAGTTCTCTTTTGGATTTGTTAAACCCGTAGGATGCCTTTTTGCATAAATTTGACTCTTAGAATCATTCTGTTCTATTCTCCCAATAAATAATCAAAACCAACCAATACATCCAGGAATCCAAAATGGAATGAAGGCAGTAACAAACAATAAACCTAACAGTATTACAAACGAATAAGGGAACCACACTGAAGGGGGTCAGGAAGAAAATAACTTGGGAAATGAACTTTGGAAAACTAGTCTGGATACCATAAAGATGGAAAGAACTATATAGAAATACTGTGAGTAAATGTCTTTCTCACAGGGTTAACAGTTAGCAATTCTGTAACTATTTTATGTGTATACTAAGACCAAACAGGAAAATGAATTTATTAGAGCTAATGAGAGCCAGATTTTTCATCCTTGGAGAAAGAAATTAAAATAAAGGAAAGGGGGAGACAAGAATGAAATTTGCAGAATTAAACTGGAGTCAGAGATATCAGTATAAATATGTGCTTTTCCATACACATACACAAGTAGATAAAAAAACAGGAAGGTGTGTCTATCTGTGTGGATTAGGATTCATTCATGTACTTCCTGGCCCTATCTGCCGAAAGGACCTAGGAGCAAAAATACTCTGGGATCAACCAACTTCTCTCAATATAGAAACCTAGTATCCAAGTCTTGGTTTATAAATATCTCCAATAAAAGGAACTAAATAAAATAAAAGTTTCATTCCAGGGCTAGAACAGGAAAAATACAGGATGAGCCTGGAACATCTTGTTCCAGAAAATAAAGAAGTGTTCAAAAAATGTTGGGGCCCTGTCAAATGATTCAGGACCCAACTTAAAGGAGCTTCCAAGGACTAAAGCTAGAACAATTTGAGCAACAAAATGAATAATGATAGGCTAAATTAAAACCTATAGAATAGGGGCGCCTGGGTGGCTCAGTGGGTTAAAGCCTCTGCTCTCGGCTCAGGTCATGATCCCAGAGTCCTGGGATCGAGCTCCACATCGGGCTCTCTACTCAGCAGGGAGCCTGCTTCCTCCTCTCTCTGACTGCTTCTCTGCCTACTTGTAATCTCTGTCTGTCAAATAAATAAATAAAATCTTTAAAAAAAAAAAAAAACCTATAGAATATGGGCGCCTGGGTGGCTCAGTGGGTTAAGCCTCTGCCTTTGGCTCAGGTCATGATCTCAGGGTCCTGGGATCGAGCCCCACATCTGCCTGCCTCTCTGCCTACTTGTGATCTCTGTCTGTCAAATAAACAAATAAAATCTTAAAAAAAAAAAAACCTATAGAATAAAATAAATATCCGTAAGTCCACACTGACAAATAGCTGAATAAATACATACTGGGGGAAAGGGACAACTCTTTTATACAGAAGTTAAAAGAAAATGAGGGAAACATAAAATCACCAGTAGGTAAACACCACAGTAATAACTCTCACAGGCAAGACCTTCCAATAAATGCTAAAATCACTGGGCAAAAGTTTGGGGAGAAACGAGATACTAGCATAGTCCCTAACTATCCAAGACATTCATCAATAACAAAGGGAAAAATAGTAATTTTGAGAAGAGAAATGTGGCAGACATCACCATAACAAAGTGATCAAGGTTAATATGAGTAATAAGCCATCTCAACATCACCTACTCCTTGATATGATGTACTGAGAAGGAAGCAACATCACCTCTGTGGTATTTGGGGAATTAAAAAAAAAAAAAAGGCATAACCTCAATCTAATCAAGAAAACTATCAGATAAACCCAAAATGAGAGATATCCTATAAAACCAACCAGTAATCATCAAAAGTGTCAAGGTCATAAAAACTAGGAATGGAGGAAGAAGTGTCACAAGTTAGGGGAAACTAAGGAGAGACAACAAATAAATCCAATGCAGGATCCTGGATTAGATCCTGGAGCAGAAAAACATAAATATTAAAAAATAAAAAAGGTGAAATTCAAATAAGATCTAGAGTTTAATTAGTGGTGATATTATGGAAGATCTTTGTTCTGCTTCACACTTTTTTTATATTTTCTAAATGGAAAATATATTACTTTTACAAAAAAAAAGTTACCTTTTCCTTTCCATGGTGTTTATTCAAAATTATAAATAGTGATTGTAAAAGAATATGTAAAACGGCAACTTACTGCTCATTTTGCTTCCCACCCACAGTTGTCACGGCTCTTTTTAAAATTCTTAGAATAACAGTTTTTATTATATAAAAAAAGTACGGACACTGAGATTACCATGTGAAAAGCACTCTACAGTCAAAGATCTCTTTTAGCCATGGGCTGTGTAGCACCGAAGAAATAGGATTATGATTATGGGTGACTTCTGCCCTAAATTTCTGAATAAGGCTTTAACAATAAAAAGTTATATAGAGGGGAAAAAAAAAAAGTTATATAGAGTTGATCCTTAACTGACCCCCACACGATCAAAAATCCAAAAATGTAATTTTTGACTCCCCCAAAACTACTAATATCCTACTGTTGACCAGAAGCCCCACCAATAACATGAACAATCCATTAACATATATTTTGCATGCTACGTATATTATATACTGAAATCTTACAAAAAGTAAGGCAATGAAAAGAAAACATTAAGAAAGTCACAATGAAAAGAAAATACACTTACAGTATTTTACTGTATCAAAAAACATGTGCATATAGGTGGACCGGCACAATTCAATCCTATGTTGTTCAAGGATCAACTGCATTTTTTAAAATGAGGCCCAACATACATCAACCCTGTGACCTAGCAACTTCATTTCTAGGAATTTACTGAAGACCAAAAAAATGGAAGGATGTGCATGACATACACAGCAACATACATGAATCTCAAAATCATAATGCTCAAAAAGGTCCGATAGAAGAAAAGTATACATTGTATGATTCCACTTATATAAAGTTCTAGAATAGGCAAAACTAACCTATGCAGAAAGAAATCAGAACAGCTTGAGGGTTGAGGGGAGGATTAAATGAAAAGAAGTGCAAAGGAACTTGGGATATGACAGAAATGTTCTGTATTTTTATCAGAGTGATGTTACATGGTATATATGTTTGTCAAAACTGACCAAACTATAAATCTTGTGAATTTGTTGTTTACAAGTTATGCCTCAATTTAAAAAAAAAAAAGTACTGATGGGGAAAAAATGTGGCACAAAAAACTCATTTGGTTAAAGTGGTCCATCACATAAGTCATAATTACCTGAATAAAATGTGAAGAATCTTGGGCACTTAAAAGAAAAATAACCAAAAGAAAATTTGACACATGCTACAACAGAGATGAACCTTGAAGACATTATCATAAATGAAATAAACTAGTCACAAAAAGACAGACACTGTATGATTCCACTTGCATGAAGCACCTAAAGTAGTCAAATTTATAGAAACAGAAAGCAGAACGGTAATTGCCAGAGACTGTAGGGGAATGGGATGTAGTTTGGGAAGGTGAAAAAGGTTTGAGAAGCAAATGATGGTGATGGTTGCACAACAATGTAAATGTACTTAATGCCAAAGAACTGTATACTTAAAAATGGTTAAAATGGTAAATTTTGTTAGGTATATTTTATCACCAAAAAAACAAACGAACAAATACAAGATAAAAACTCCAAAATCCAATTAGTCTGCTTATCTTGTTGCTTGGCTCTAAAGAGCTATGGAGATCTGCCTTGCTTGCATTCTTTAAAAAGACTCAGTTATTCCTTTCTGAGTCCTTCTGGGTATGAGCCAAAGGCAAAGAGGTTCTATATTTTTCTCTCATTTTATTTTAAACCCTAGGTCTACTGAGCTGTCAAGACAAAAGTCAGTGATGTTTGTCTCCTTCAAAGCAATGGTCCTTAATCGTTTAGGGGTTTATAGATGCTTCTGAAAAATCTATTAAAAGTCACAGGCACGAAAAACTACAGGTTAAGTCAGGCAGAAGGATGGAAGTTTCAGCCCACCTTCCTTGGAAACATCCCACCCTAGTTCCCTGGGCCTCAGGACTATCAGCACAGGCTGATATATCAGCACAGGACTATCAGGCTGAATCCATCTGTCTGCCCAGACAGAACAAGAATACGCTAGCACTACCCACAACACTTACCTCATGCTGGGAATGGCATGGTAACCCAATCGGAAGCGGAGTTTGCTGGACCCAGCAAAATCTGTGATCATCTTTTCCCCCACAGTGTGCATGTGTTTGAGAAGCTCAAGGTGTTCCCTGGTCACAACCTTCAGACTGGAAATGGCAGCCCACGGTAAGACCAGCCAGTGGTGACGAGCCTTGGGATATTTATCCTTAATCACCACCACCTGCTCATCTTTGTAAACCTAGAAGAGGGGCGTAAGAGAAGGAAATAGACATCTACCACACATCTGCTGCATGCCAGGTGCTGTCATATTCACTAACTCACTTAATTTCCAACACAGTCTTATGTAAAAGCTTTCCATATCACAGTTTTATCAGATGAGAGCTGACACTTGGATGAGTGTCTTGCAAAGTCACATAGCTAACAAAGTGGGAAGTCTACGATTGTAAACCAGGTCGAGTTGACTCCAGAGTGTGTGTTTTCAATCACCACACTACAAAGAATACATAGAAAACGCACAGTACAAAATAGTTCCTAAGGATCTGCTGTAACATCCTTGCAAGCATTAATTCAAATGCACCCTTCTCCACTCTAACCCAGTAGACCATTTGTCACATCATGTGTTCCAAGAAGCCCTATCAGATCTGGCTCCTTGTCACCCAGGATGTAATTTAAGAACTCAAAGACCCCTCCCAGGATGATGCCTATTAATCCCAGGGCAGCCCAGCAACTACAGTCACAATATATTACCTGACACTCCCTTGAAAGAAACCCCACTAAGGTTAACACAACTCCCTTAATAGCACCCAGAAGTTTAGAAGGAACAAAGAAGAGGGGATATTCATTTGAGGAACTTAGCTTCTCTTCAAAGAATCCAGTTGCTAACTTACTAATAATGGGAAAAACCACTTGTTCTCAGAAAATAGCCCAATAAAACGAACCTCATTCAGAAGGACTGATCTCCTTTGCTTTCATTTGTAGTTATGACCTCTGTGGATTAGCCACTTAAAACATGAAGTGTATTTCAATGCCAAATGTTATTCTGACCTGCATTTTGGGATCCTGCATAGAAATTTTCAAGCCTTGACTCCAGTGGCCCAATGATTCCTGAAACAAAAAGGGGCAATACAAATTGCAAATGTCAAGTTATATTTAGGATTAGTTAATATTGTACATCAGCAAAGCCCAACTGAACTTAGTAATGAGATCAGTTTTTAAGAATTAAGCTATATCCCCTTTACTCAATCACTTGCCTTTATAATCTAAACCAGCTCCATTTTCTTCCTATACAGGATTCACAGTTGTGTGTCTAGACAAAGGCTAGAGATGCCAGAGTGTCAACTGCATCTTCTTTGCCCTCTCCCACTCCACCTACAGCCTAACTACACTTCCACTTTGACATGAGGATGCGAATCACATGATCTATGAACAGTGTTCCAATGCTAACCTTCTACAGATAAACATATGACTGACCCATTTCAGCAGTTCAGTGGTAACTACACCACCATTATCTCTCTACCTTCAAGTGGCTTACCTCAGGAATTCAACAGTAAAGTACACAAAGGGACCTTCACTCAAGTGACTGGTGACACAAACAAGTGACTCTTTCATCATGGTTAATAAGCCTTGTCATAGTTAATAACCTCTTATGCATACCTGGGCTTTACAGTGTACAAAACAATCAGGCAGTCATCACATCTCATTTAATCTCCATATCATCCATCAAACACACAGCCCTCACCTTTTTGGTAGATATATCTTTCCCCTTTTTTGAGGGCAGAGCAGATTGGCTAGGATCACTCCCAGGTTCCAGTCCTGTACAGGACTCCGCTTCCTGGGCAGCATCTCTTTCTATAGAATCACTGCTGCCTGACCTCTTTCTCTTCCTGGGTGTTTCCAGGCCAGGGCTCTCTGCCTCTTCTTCAAATTCTACGATATATGGATAAAGTTCATTCACCATGTGGAGAACCTGGCCAGGCTGCAGCTTCACCTCTTGGTCCTTCCCAATTATGACTGAGTCAATGCTGGTGGGATTGACCCCTACCTATAGAATAATCAGAAAATAATCACAATGATAGCAATAATACCACTAGCAGCATAGCCACTGCTATGTTAACCACTTACAGCACGCCAAGCACCATGCTTAATGCTCACTTCCACACATGACAGAGAAGCTTTTATTGGCTGGCACAAACACTCTAAAATCAACAGCATAAGAAAATCATCAAGTATAAAATGGAAATCCAAATTACAAATACACATACCTGCTTTACCTTGACGTATCCTTTGTTACACTCTGCTTTCAACTGTACTGAAAGAGATATAAAAAAAGTTAAACCTAAATGCCACAAAGAACCAAGCACTTGCTCCTATTCTCCCTACAGGATAATGAAACCTCACTCCAGGAGGCAACTTGACTGGGGTTTCCTCAAAGGCCTATGAGCAAAACTGCCTGTTATACAGGTGGCTGGGCTCCAAATCCTTCCATAAAATGTCAACAGCACACATACTCCTTTAGCTCTTGCTAATATCCCTATGAAGCAGCTTCACAGAATCCTCACAAGTCTTGCTATTCCAGCACCCTTAACCCACTCAGGATAACAAACTCTACCGTCAGGAAAGGAACCCAGTTCTCTCACAGACTCTTGGTTCATGATTACATCAGGCTTCCACTATTTAATACAACTATAAGATGCCTTCAATAGAGAAAGCCAAAGGATCCATTCCTGGAAAAGAGAAGTTCAGCTGGCCTTAGTAGACACAGTGATTATTCTAGAAAGAGGATTGCAGGAACAGAACAGTCTGAGCATATGTGGGAAGAAATAACATTAAACACTTGTGTTCAAAGAAGTGAACAAAATTTCTAGGGGGAAACAGGGTGCAGAGACACCACAGCTGCTATCCGGGAAGGACAGGCAGAAAACAGGATGACACACAAGTCCTTACAGTTGCTGTTATGAAAAGGGGACAGAGAGTGAAAAGCAGTGTCTACTTCTGTATCTTGGACCTAGACAGCTCAATATGGCTTTTTTCCCCCCATTTAGATTAACTCATGTGGGAAAAATCAGTACTACAGACTCCAAGCACTGAGAAACCCTGTTATGGGGAACACACATGTGGGGGCCTGGTAGCAGTGAGCATGTCCAGAGTTTACATGTGAAAAATGAGGTATGTGGTAAGGCTTTTTCCTAAGGACCTTCATTTCATCAAATCCCAGGAAAAGCAAATTCAAGAGCTAGATGCCAAAGTCTTAAAAAGATAACCCCCTCTGTGTGAGCCATCATGTAAAGGATGGAACTACCCCATCACTTCTCAGACATGGTTTCAGGCTGGAGGTCCCAGAATTCAACTGTCTCACTGCCCAGTGAGAGGAATCTTCCTGGGCAAAGCAGAGTACAGGATTCAGGTCCACCACCCCATAGTAACAGGAAGGAACCTGCCTATTCCCAATACTGAATATTAACTACTTCCAGGGGGGAGAATCAGGGGTGAATGGGTCCCTGGTATTAGCTCATAGAATGGTTTCTGAGTTTTGTTTATGGCAGACAAAAAGATCCTACCAAAAGCATCCAAGAAATGTGCATCTTTGGTTATCATTATCCTGAGGAACAAAACACAGTAATCTGCACATTGCTATGACCAATTACCTTGTTGTCGAGAACATTTCTTGTCAACGATCTTGGTCTCTGGACCACGCCCAACCATGACTGCTTCCAAATGTGGAAGTTTGATTCGCTGGTGCCGGTTATCCTGTCTCACCAACCAGCACACCCGCATCATTACTCTGAGAGAAAAAAAAAAAAACACACAAGAGAATCACTGGAAAAATTAGCACAAGTCCTCCAGAGCCATACTCCAGCACTACCACACACGCCATCTACCAGTGACTTCACCTAGGTCTCAATTTTCTCACCTATAGAACATGACAATGACAGGACTCATGAGGCTCTTCTGAGAATTAAATAAGATAATGTATATATTTACCTCTGTGCCTAAATCAGGCTAAGCAATCAAAAAATTTTTTAAAGATTTTATTTATTTGTCAGTGAGAGAGAGAAAGCGCACAGGCAGAGGGAGAAGCAGGCTCCCCACTGAGCAAGGAGCCTGATATGGAACTCGATCCCAGGACCCTGGGATCATGACCTGAGCTGAAGGCAGACACCCAACCAACTGAGCCACCCAGGCGTCCCAGTAATCAAATATTTATGTTTATTGATACACTCTATGTGCTGACCATTAGCCTACACGCTGAGGATAAAAGAATAATTAAACAATGTTCCTATCCTTGAGGGACCTGGAGTTTAGTGGGACAGACAGAATCAAATATCAATTATTACAACATAATGTGATAAGCACCATAATAAGGGATTAATTAAATATGGCATTAGCTCAGGGAAAGGAATAACTGACTCTTGTAAGGAATATCAAAAACAGCTTAATAGGAAGGGATATTTATGCTGAGTTTTAAAGCGTGAGAAAGAGTTTGCCTGGCAGAAAATTAAAGTCGTAGGAATGGAGGATGTTCTTCAGTCCAAGGGCATCTTTATGTGTATCAGGTTTTCCTCCTTAATCATTGTAACATAACAGTATTAGAATAATAATTTTACTGCCATCTACCAGAAGACTGTCATAAAAAATATATAAACCTACAATGTCTAAAGTGTGAATGTGGCCCCTCTGTGCAATACAAACCTTTACGATAGTGAAGGAACCAGTTTTCTTTTGAAAACCACCTTTAGAGGCACCTGGGTTGCTCAGTTGGTTAAGCATTGACTCTGGATTTCAGCTCAGGTCACGATCTCAGGGCCAAAAATGGAGCACTGTGTCTGGCTCTGTGCTCAGTGAGGCATCTGCTTAAGATTCCACCCCTTAAGGGGTGCCTGGGTGGCTCAGTGGGTTAAGCCTCTGCCTTTGGCTCAGGTCATGATCTCAGGGTCCTGGGATTGAGCCCTGCATCAGGCTCTCTGCTCAGCAGGGAGCCCGCTTCCCCCCTCTCTCTGCCTCCCTCTCTGTCTACTTGTGATCTCTCTCTGTCAAATAAATAAATAAAATCTTTAAAAAAAAAAAAAAGATTCCACCCCTTAAAGATTCCACCCATCCTGCTCACCACCCCCTCTGCATGTGCATGTGAGCATTCTCTATCTAAAATAAATAAATAAGTCCTGAAAGAAAGGAAGAAAACAACCTTGAGGGCCACATAGGGTATCAGTAGAAGGGAAAGAGACAAGAAATTTGGGAGAGAGATGAGACCTAACAAAGGCAGGGCAAAGGGAATGGAGAGGAAGAAGAAGGAACTGTTACTGTAGACTTAATTACCGACTATATTTGGAGAATGACAAAGGAGTAAAGGCGGAAATAAATCAAGACTTCTAATTCGGAAATAGCCATTAACCACAATGAGAAATACACAAGAAACCATAATTTGAAGTTAAATAGCAGATGAAGAAGGGATGATTTCTGATTGAAACACAATTAGATTAAGATACACAGGTCAAGGTAGGATATATGGGCAGAAGGCTCAGGGAGAGGAATAGGCTGAATATATATATATTTGAGAGGCATCAACATGTCAGAGAAGGTGAGGCAAAGAGAGAGCATGAGATCACCCAGAGAGGGAGAGCAGGGAATTACGGGCAGGGACAGGACTAGGATCCTTGGGATGCCTCCAGAAACATATTGCTCAAGCCTCTAATATCCTCTCTTTGAGAAATGTGCTCTGTAGGCAAGGCAGCACTTATCAGGCCTCTGGACAAGCATTGTGTCCAAAAGGAAGAAAAAAAGGAACAAGATTTTTAAAAATCAGAATTTCATTACCATCTGCAAAGAAAGGATAATGCAAAGGAGTGAGCAAATGAGTGCTGAGGAGGTGCAAAGTTACAGAAAATTCCACCAGTCAGCAAAGGGTTTGGAAACCACCCAAATGAAAAGGTGGAGAGGACTGATTAGAAAATAAGTGGGAGGGGACATTCCATTTTTAAAAGCACAGGCGCCAGGGACACCTGGCTGGCTCAGTCGGAAGAGCATGTGACTCTTGATCTCTGGGTCATGAGTTCATGCCCCAAGTTGGGTGTGGAGATTACTTAAATGAATAAAACTTTAAAAAAAGAAAAAAAGCACAAGTGAAAACACAGATTTCAGCAATAAGCCATGGGTGAGGGGTAGAAAGCAGACCTTGTTGGTTGACCCAGAGGAGCTGCCCCAGAGAATCACCAAAAAATGGCAGAGGTATTGAAACACCAGGCTGAAAAGTTTTGACTTAACATTATCAACAAGGAGACAACTGCCAAATTATTGAGCTGCCTACTGAAGTGAAACAACAGCTGTGCGTAGGCAGATTGGAGTGGAGAAGCCTAGAGTCAGAGTCACAAAGCTGTCAACATAATGACCACAGTGAGGTCCAAAAGTTCAGCAGGTCTTTGTGAAGGAGTGGATACAAGAAGCATGAAAAGTCAGCTGTAAACCTAAAATCTTAAACCTGGAGCCTCAAATGATGATGATACTACAGGCAAGTCCCACTTTTAAATGCTATGTGTTCAGAGGAGCATCTGTCTGCACTTGCTGGAAACTGATGAATGAGCAAGCAATGGGCTGAGAAGTGAAGTATGTCTTCATCAGGCTTTGGGAAATAAGTCATGGTGACTGACTACTCACAGTAATAACAAGAGAAATGTGGAGAGAGCACAGTTTGAGAGCAGGGACAGGAAGGAATCTGATGGGCAGCTGAGAGCATGGCTGGCTGTTGCAGGCTAATAGGAACTACCCCTCCTGCCCTATACACACACTCATTCCCACCAAAGTTCTCAAGTTATGATGTTCCCATTTACTACTTCTTGAGAAGCTAAAGCAGTGACTGCACAATGCTTACACAACTAACCTTAAGCAACATTTTGGCCCATTTTAGCCTCCAGTTCCAATTTCTAGGAATGAAGCATTTTAGAATATGGGGAGTACATAATGATAGGTGCTCCTGAATCTTTAAAATAGTCCATCCAATAAAACTCCATAAACTGCAAGTACTATGAAAGAAGGCAAGCCCATTTTTTTTGCTTACCAATGTATCTCCAGAACTTAATATTTGGCATGCAAGAATAATATATATTTGCAAGTAGGTCACCAAATGATAATCCTATTCAGGTTCTTGTCCCTTCCTTCTCTTTCCCCTGCTTTGGCTACACTTCCATGTGGTCCTTTGCTCCTCTCTTTGGGCAATCCCATCCTCACATCTATGAGGTTAAATCCTAACTCTCTGTTTTCCAACTCCCTACTTTTCATTCCAGAGTTCCAGGGATTGGTCAGGAAAAAATTCTGGTTACATATTAAGGAACCAAAGTGATCTGATAGGCCACACAAGCCCAGCAATTTGATAACATGGAACTGTGCTGTCCAGTAGAACTTTTTGCAATAATGGAAGTGTTGTAAACCTGCATTGTCTAATAACGTAGCTACCAAGTGACTAACAAGCACCCAAAATGTAGCCAGGTCAATAGAGGAACTAAAGTTCTTAGATTTTTTTTAAACCTATATTTAAATAGCTACATGTGGCTGATGGCTACCATGATATCCAACCCAGCCCCAGAAATTTGCCCAGCCTGGTAAGTCCCAAATTCCTCAGGCTTGAGGTGAAGACCCTCATACTCTAACCCCACAAAGGTTACTTATGTCACCTCCTACTTCCTTTCATAGAACTAACCCACCCTCCCCTTCCCCCGGACTCACATAACTTTATTTTTATGCGCAAATACAACCCTCAAGCTATGAGGTACTGAGTCATGTCTCCCAAGTCATTCTTAATATGAGGGCATTGGGTTATACCCTTTCCCCCTTCCTAGAATCCCAAATCCTCCTCAATTTCCAAGTCCCACCTCCTCCAGGGAGGCCTTCACTGAACTATCTTGTCTTCTCTACATCTTGCCATAGGGTGTGGTCAATTTATCTTCACAGTTCCCTGAGAATTAAATGTGGATGTAATTCTACTCTCCAAATGAAATTATCATCTCCTTGTAAACAGCTTGCATCACTACCCATCTATACAGAAAACTCAGGTCTCTAACTTTTTTTCTGCTTGCGTTGTGGCCAAGCCTGGGGCTGGGCGGGAGGAGGAGTGAGGGGCACGTGAACGAACGTGAGGTGAGACGGCGACCAACGAGAGGGCCTCCGAAAAACGGCCCATGGGAGCTTGAGCAAAGTGAGACGCCTGGAGCCCAAGGACTGTAAAGCCAGGCCGGAAAAAAGCCATAAAAGCGTCATTCAAGGAACATCATTCAAGGGCAGTAACGGCCCCGCTCCAGGGCCCACAACTACGGTTTTCCACCCGGCAAGCAGAGGAGGTAGGCCGAGAAGTGCCTTACCTCGACACGGCGGACACAGACAAACCCAGGTCACTCTTCGAAGCCTCACCACTTCCGGCGCTGCGTGATGACGTCACGAGCAAGCCCGCGATCGACCAGTGACATCACCAGTACCCGTCCAAAGATTGGCTGAAAGGGTCTCTCCCAATGCCCGGATCGGGAAGCGTCGGCCCCGATTGGTCCCTCCGGTCCTACTGCGGTTTCCCGCAACGATCCCATTGGGGACGAGCCCTGCTTCTCTCCATACGAGAGCCTCTTCACTAACACCTCTGTGTCTGAATCCGGAGAGACTTCAGGCAACTATCCTCTCTGTGGCCGTTTCTAGGCAACTGTGCAGTGCCTTAGCACTCCCTTTGTTAGTAGAAGCTCGCTACCTTTAAAGCCATCTTTTCCGCTGTAGAAAGTACCTGCTGTGGCATTGTTTTCCTACCTTCTTTCGAAACTGTAATCGACTTTCTCTTTTCTCTAGGGAGAAATGTCTGGAGAGGCTTGCCGTGAGGAAACCTGATAAGGTTGTTTTAATGCTGTCTTTACTAAACGAACTGGCTGACAAGCAGTTAGGGAGGAGAGAAGCAGCAGGCTGCTGGGATGAGATGGGTTTACCGATTTTTATAGCCATTCCGGGATGTTCCGTAAGAGTTATGTATTGCAGTTATTCGAAGGCATTTTGGCAGATAGAAAAATTCCTATCTTTGGGTGAAGTCATAGTTTATAATTTTTCTCTAAATAAAGACCGAACCTTAAGGAGTCAACATTTCTTGATCAAGACGGAATATTATTTCCTTTCATAGAAAAGCAGTTAACGGTATGATAGAGATACCAGAGCTATCAAAATAGGGTGAGAGAATCTTCCAGGAAACACAGAAAAGAGGCAGATGCAGGTTTTTAATAGGGTCACACCAGGAAGTAGGGGGGCACAGGAAGCATGTTAGCGACCCCACAGCCCTCATGGTGGTGGAATGTGATTCACACTACTGAAGGTAAAATGAGATGGCTCTGGTCACCTGACCAGTTCCCTCAGAATTAAGCTTCTCTTAGCCTTTGCTAAGACCTGACCTGCCTTAGTGTGTCTCGCATTCAAAATTGGATTGGTTTACTCTATTTGGATTATTTACTATATATTGTGCAAAATTGTGCAGAGTATCCATGCCCAGCCTACTAGGTCTAGCCCTTTGTCTATAGCATATTACTGGCCAGAGAAACAGGGTCACATGGCATGAAGGCATGACAAACACTTAAGAGTTTCACAGACCCCAGAACCAAAAATGTATCACAAACAGATGCATAGAAATTAATAAAAAGTCGTTTGTGCGGTTATCTAATGTGGCCCTCAAAATATAATTCTTGGATCAGTAGCAGTAGCCTCACAACACCTAGGAACTCATTAGGAATGCAATTTCTAACTTTGCTGGGTGTGGCCCACAATCTGGTTTTTCTTTTTCTTTTTTAAGATTTTATTTATTTATTTGAGAGAGAGAGAGAGACCATGAGATGGAAGAGATCAGAGGGAGAAGCAGACTCCCCCCACCCCCAGCAGGGAGCCTGATGTGGGACTCGATCCTGAGACTCCAAGATCATGACCTGAGCTGAAGGCAGTTGCTTAACCAACTGAGCCACCCAGGTGCCCCAGCAATCTGTTTTAATAAGCCCACCAGGTTATTGTGATGCATGATCAAGTTAGAGATTCAAGTTAGGAAGGCAAAGACTTCAAACTGTACGTCATGATAAATGTGTTTTGTTGGCCTGCTCAGGGCTTTGGGGGGTTTTTTTTACTTTTTCAAATTCAAAACAAATTATGTTTATTTGTGACAAAATACCCATAAAACTTATAAACCATTTTTAAGTATACAGCTCCGTAATGTTAAGTATATCCACATTGTACTGTATCTATCTCCAGAAAGTTTAATCTTGCAAAACTGAAACTATGTGTTAATTTTCTATTTCCTCTTCCTCCAGCCCCTGACAACCACCAATTTACTTTCAGTTTCCATGAGTTTGACCACTCTAGATACTGCACATAAGTGAAATCATGTAGTAGTTGTCTTTCTGTGACTGGTTTATTTCATTTAGCATAACGTCCTCCAATTTCATTACCTGTAATGTGTCAAAAACTTTCATTTTAAGGTTAAATAACACTCTATTGCATGTATATACCACACTTTGTTTAAAATTGATTTGTCTGTCAGTGGATCTTTGGATTGCTCCCATCTTACTGCTATTATGAATAATGCTGCTATGAACATTATTGTGCAAATACCCCTTCAAGATCCTGTCTTCAATTCTTTTGGATATATTCCCAAAAGTGGGACTGGTGGATCATATGATAATTCTATTTTTATATTTGAGGAACCACCTGCTGTTTTCCATAGCAGCTGCATCATTTTACATTGGACACAAGGGTTCCAATTTCTCTACATCCTTGATAATACTTGTTATTTTCTGGTTTGGAGTTTGTTGTTGTTTTTAACAGCAGTCATCCTAATGGGTGTGAGGTGGTATCTCATTGAGGTCTTGATTTGTATTTCTCTAATGATTAGTAATGTTGAGCACTTTTTCATATGTTTGTTGGCATTTTGTATATTTTCTTTGGAGAAATGTCTGTTCAAATCATTTGCCCATTTTTTTCTTTCTGGGCCCCCATTTTTAAATCAAGTTATTTTGTTGTTGTTGCATTGTAGAAGTTCTTTTTATATTCTAGATATTAATCCATTGTCAGATATATAATTTGCAAGTATTTTTTCCCATTTCATAGATTGCCTTTTCATTCCATTAATTGTGCCCTTTGATGCACAGAGATTTTTAATTTTGGTGTTGTCCAATGATCTATTTTTACTTTAGCTGCCTGTGCTTTTGCTATCATTTCCAAGAAATCATTAGAAGCTTTTCCCCAGTTTTATAGTTTTAGGTCTTATATTTGGATCTTTAATCCATTTAATCATTTTTTTATATGGTGTAAGGTAAGAGTCCAACGTCATCATTTTGCATGTGGATATCCAGTTTTCCTAACACCATCTGTTGAAAACATTGTATTTTCCCTATTGCATGGTCTTGAAATCTTTGTTGAAAATCATTTGACCATATATGCAAGGGTTTATTTCTGGCTTCTCTATTCAATTCCATTACTCTGTATGTCTGCCCTTATACCATTACCACCTGTTTTGATTACTGTGGCTTCATTATAATTTCTGAAATCAGGAGTTATGAGACTTCAAACTTTGCCCTTCTACAAGATTGTTTTGGCTATTCTGCTCAGGAGGTTTTAATTGTTTTTTAATTCCAATGGAAATTAGAAGATCACATATGAAAATCAGGATTCTTGGTCTTTTTAAAAAAATCAATAAATCCAGCAAATTTTGGCAACAAATAGCCATTGTGAGTGACTGTCCTGTGCTCTCCAGGCTACTGTGTCCACCCACTAATTTATATAACCTGTCTGGTCCCTGAGGGCTCTTCTTTCTTTGAGACTTTGAGAATCCCAATCTAAGGGAACAGTAGTTGGAGCCAGAGGACCAACCTGGGGAGACTGCAGTGATTAGGTCCAGAGATTAGCTCAGAAGGAAAAGTACAGAATCCTAGGAGAGGGTAGAGCTAGGAAATTTCATTTTGTTTTTAGGGGTTTTGGGGGAGGGCAGAGGGTGGATAGGGTGACGGGAAGGTTGGGAGGACTGTGAGAAAAGACCTGTGTAAGAAAGGAAAATTTTAAAAGCCCAGAAAGTTCAAAAGGAAACAGATAGGTGAAGGCTTGGGAGAAAAATATTCCAAATCTATGATCTACACTGAAAAAGGAGCAATACACAAAAGCCCTATAGTGGACCTCAAGCACATTCTTTCAGGTATGAATACAAGTCCTGTGGAGCTGAAAAGTCGACAGTGAAAGGAAATGGTGAGATCTGAGCAAGGGTCAGATAGTAAACCATTTAGGAACTGTATGTGGGTTCATCTTATGGCCAATGAAAAAGCCCTGAAGATTTAACCCGGGGAATAATATTATTTGATTTTTCATTGGAGGCTGTGGCTGCTGTGAGGAAGAATGGATGGGTGGGGAAGGGCAAGAACAGAAAGGGTGAGAGCAGTTAGGTGTCTACTGATATAGTGCAAAGGATGTTGGCAGCCCGGACAAGAGACAAAAGGTAGATAATTCAAGAGATATTTTGGAGGCAGCATCAACTGGACAAGACATATTCTTCTCTGTAGGGAGACCTAGGTGGAATGCCAAATAATAAAAATCCCTTAATGGGGAAAGGAACAAAACCTAATGAGCTATAAATTTAGTTGCATGTTTCATATGTCCAAAATCTTCTCAGGTGGCTCAGTTGGTTCAGCAGTTGCCTTTAGCTCAGTTCATGATCCCAGGGTCCTGCTTCTCCCTCTGCCTGCTGCTCCCCCTGCTTATGCTTTCGTGCTCTCTTTCTCTCTCCCTGACAAATAAATAAATAATCTTTAAAAAGAAAAACAAAAACAAAAACAAAATCTTCTCACTGTAGACACCCACAACTCTACCTGCAGTTTTCCTCTGGACCCAAGAGCCTTTCCCCAGTGCAAACACACCACAAATGAGGGGAATCTATGAGCCTGGGAGCATTTGAGAAATGATGTAAAGAAGTGGATGAGTAAACTTGTTTCCTCACCTCGGGGTGAAACAACTTTGAAGTATGTATCACACTGTCTCCCAGAGGTTCTCTGGTAATGCTAAGCCTCGGTTGCCCTGAGTGGTAGCCTACACGTTGGTTTCCTTCCCACCCCAGCCTTGCTTCTCCACACCCTACAGGAGCTTCTTCGGATCATCTCCTAAATGACATACTGAAATCATTGCCTTAGTGTCTGTTTCTGGGGGAATTCAACCCCATAAACTCCTTCTGACTATTTTCTAAAGGTACCATTTTATTTCTCTTTTTAGATAAATTAATAATTCCTCCTGTTTCCCAACTTTTTAATGTCAAAGCACAGAGATTAAATCATATTCACAGAACACTGGGGTAAACTTATGAGGAACTAGATTTAAAAAAATTATTACATTTTCTTTATAATTAACTATGG